ATCTCATTTAACTTTCATTTGTAATGTATGTTTAAATTTTCCAAACTTTTCTTTATTAATGTTCTGTAAACTAGATGCTTTGCATCGTTCTAAATAATCTTCTTCAGGGTACTTAAACAAAGTTTCCCTTGTAAATTATGCCATTCCCAACTCGGGTTAATCAATAGCGGTAAATCTAAGCATCTTAGCAAAATCCCCTTACTCGATTAAATGCAAAATTCGAGTTCCAATGAATCATTAAGAGCAGACTCCATAATCCCGAAAGTTAAGTCGTTCGAAGGACTCGACCAATCCATTTCCAGCTTCCGACTGACTTTGTCACTGGCCACGCCCCCTGTTCGAAAGTTTCCGATCCAAGTTTTCCGAGCAGAAGAGATTAAATTCTGCCAACGACGAATGCAAATCGTAATTCCTTTTGTGTACTTGGCCGGGTTTGTTTGGCCAATCGCTCTGGCAATTAGTTAAATTTATTATTTGTGCACGCACCGCAACCGCAGCAGCAGGATCCCAGGGGGGCGTGGCAGGGGGGGAGGGGCGGGAACAAAGCAGTTTGCATTTGTCTCCGCATGAAAGGATTAATGACAGGCAACAAACAAGCAAACCGAAATCCACCGAGTTCCCAAAACTCCTTCCCCACCATCACCGATGCATGTGTGCAATCTTGTCACTCACATTCGCTACACAGAGAAAAATAATTGCCTAAATGGGTCACTAGTTGGATACTTTGCTTATTTTATGGGTTTAAATTATGTTTCTGTGCTTATTTAAATTAATGTAGTCTAAGCAGAAACAGAAAACAAAATCGTTCTACTTAGGTAATCAAGTACATCGATTTTCAGTTTTTGTTGTTTAAATAAAATATTTAATTTTTTAATTTTCTAATAAAAGGCAAATATAGAAGGAAATATAACCTCAAATTCGATGGCTACTTTTTTCGTTAAAAATAATTCCACTTAAATTAATAAAAATTTAAATAAACTTAAAGTATTAAGCACTGTTCATTTTTCTCTACGTACGGACGCCCTCTCTTCATCACGCCACTGTAAATATTTGGCTTTAAGGCAAAGCGAGGCTAATTCGTTTTTATGCCCGGCCCATGAAAAATTTAAATTATTATTTATGGCAGAGTTTTTCCCATTTGCATTTGCCATTTTTCCACCCGTGCATCTCTGTCGCTCGCCGCATGTTAACGGATATTGGGGAAAATGGTTATGCATTCGTCCATAAATTGCGCAGGACTCATAAATCAAGCGCGCGAGACTTCAATTAATGCCCCACTATTGCCAGCGATAATTCATTTACTAATTTATCTTTTGCAAACAGAGAGCAGCGTGCCAGCATTAATTACAATGCAATTACTTATGGCGCGTACGGCGAACATGCTCATAATTATCTGATTGGAGGCGTGGCTCTCGTTCATTTGCATTCCCATCGCCCCTTTTAGTTGGCACCCACAAACATAATCTGTTTAATTATCTTAAGATGTGAATAAATTGGATCATATTTAAACAAGACGGGTGGTTGGCGGCAAGCAGTTCTCAGTTAAAGCAGTTCGTGGTGAATATGCGTTGCTTAAACTGCTTGAGTGGGGATCTTATGATCCATTAAAGGGAAATTTTGTAGGAAAAAATCTTAACGAATGATCGAATGAGAATATCATTTTGATTCGTATAATGTATTGTTAACAATGCAAAACGAGTAAAATCTTAATAATACAGTTTTTGTTGCCCTAAATAGTTTTAGAAAGAGAAAATGTTCTTAAGTTTTTGTATAAATACAATACTGTACGCATAAAACAATATTTAAAAATTGCGAAAAATCATTATGTTAATTTCAGTATATAAATTTTTTTAAGCTGAGTAAATTTTGCCTTGTTTGTGTATCGGGTTACAAATTAAGATCTTGGGAACTTAAATAAGTAATTATTCATTTCATCCAATATAAATAATAAACAGAATCCATTTCCTATTGAGTTCCTAAAATCTATAGAAAACTAATAATTTACCAAGAAGGTAGGTTTTGCTGATATTCGCCAATCCAGTGTTTTTTCCTTTCACGAATTGAATTGAAAAATAAATTTGAGCGCATAATTCCTTCTTGGCAGGCAAATAATCAGATAAATTTAGTGCCTCCACTTTTGGCCGCAAGCCAATTGTTCAGATGCCAAAAACCTGAGCTTGACGTAAAGTCAATATTCACTTAGAGAAACATTTATATAATTAAGGCAATTAAAAAGGCGCGGACTGCATAAGGCATTTAATAAATTAATTTTAAAATTCTTGTAACACTTGGGTACAAACGCGCAAAGACGGAATTAAATTTGAGATTCATTATATTCACAATATATGCATAATTGATTTAAACACAGTACGTCAAAGGGTCTCAACTTGAGTAAGAATCAATGTTTATTTATAAAACGGACTGCGTCACACTCTCAGCACTAGCAAACTCATAAAACCACCGAATCTTATTTCACTCGAGCACAGAATTTGGGGCTTTGGCAAATCTTCAACGAGATACTCACCCAATCGAATTTCACGTGCCGCTGCCCGCGCTTTATTGTGATGACAGCTCCTTCTCGACAGTGCACATAGAGTCACGGAGCGGAGCGTCATCATCAGCCATCATCAACTCGTAAAACCAACACCACGGCCTTTGTTTACAACCGCGCTCGTCGTCGAGGATGTGGAAAATAGTGGGAAACTGGGTGCTGGCGCCGCGGTATCTGGGCCACTGCATCCCGGCCAAAAGATCCCAGTCGAATGAGCGTCCGCCTGTGGAGGCGGTTCGTTTTGGAACCACAGACTCGCTTTCCAGCTTCCAGCCACAGCATCCAATAAAAGTGCAAGTCCGTGGGAGTGGAGCTATGTTTTCAGTGGGAAAATTGAGTAGCTAGGTTTAAAAAATAACAATAACATTATTTGGTTTAAGTAGTTCTAAAAATATACTTCTCAGACGATTTTGTAATTATTTTATAAATAACAATAATTATTTATTTTACCATTACCATAATTTTTTCATTATTATTTATCTAATTGTATGATAAACATGAAAGCATATATTCGGAATTAATTTATTTGTCGCAGGATTATGTTGTAATTGGTGATAAGAAATAAATAGCAATATCCATAGAGCAAGGTCTGAAAATTATATCATTTTTCAATCGTATACCTTAAAAGTAAGTTTCCAGTTACGTTTTCTTTTAGAGCATTATACCAATAACATTTGCCGTATTTTAACACTTTTATTCCGTTTAATCAATGCCCACAGGATGTCTAAAACGCCATCACTGGTTCCAAGGTGAAGACAAAACCAACTGCGCATGCGTTGACTCCTGCGAAGCACCATCCTCCTGGAAACTGCACGCGGAGGACGAACTGAAAGTGAGCGCTTCCTCGGGCCGTCTGCCGGGCTCCTTAGCCAGGCCTTACTGTTGCCATTTTCTGCGTCGGGGTTGCGGAAAACCCGCCTGTGCAACGCGGTTTCCACCCCTAAGCCTCTCGGAGACGCACTGTCTCACAGCTTGCGTTCCAATCGACTTTTGCTGCCACTCTCTCAGGGGGAGGATTCGGTCCGAAAATCAATAAAAGTCACGTCGACGTCCATGTTGGGCAGCCCCGGCTGCCGGGGCCTCCGCCTCATTCTCCGCCTGCGGCAGACAATGAAATGATGTTCTGGCCAGAGGATGCAGGATGAGCAGGAGCTTCGGAGGAGGACGCACGTGTTGTCCCCGGACTTCTGGCTCGAATGCGTGCGAGCAGCAGCAACAATACCAATTACAATAAAGACAGACATTTAGCCAGGATTCATTTGGTGAAAGGTGAAGGGGTGAGGGAAGGGGGTGGAGGGGTGGAGGGGTGCGTCGTGCAGACGGCCGGCAGGACATGTGCAAAAAATGCCAAGAGCGAGGATGAAAAATTTGCCAAATGTATTCCAGCAACGAGTTTCTAATGGAAACAATTAAGTCATTAGCAAGTGTTGATTTTAGTGAGCGATGAGTCGGGTTGGGGATTTAGTTAAACTAATGTGTTTGGTCCATAATGGAGTCCTTCGGGGAGTCCTGCCACCCAAGCTCGAGTAGTGGTTGTGCCGCTGGCAGAGACCCAACTCGTTGGGCCGCCTTACAAATGCCCCGCATTTTTCTCAATTACAACGAACAACGAACAACTCACTTTCGGGTTCACTTTCCGGCTGAGACCCTCGCAAGTCGCCCTTCTGCCTCAGAGCCATGTGTGTGCTTACGTCGGGAGGTGAACCGACTGCCATTTTCTAACCATGATTGAAGAGTTAAATGTTGTGGCACTTTGAGCGGGCCCAGTTAACTTGTTGGCAAATGACTTTCGGCAGTATTAACTGCTGGTGTTCGGGCTCTGAACGCAGTTTGCAAGAGGTTCTCGACGACCAGGTGGGGCCTTGGGGAATAGATGGTGGATGGGAGCACTTCGACGAAGCTTATCTTGGGTTGTGTTTTAGTTCGGATCTCAGAGAGGCTCTTCTAATACTTTTTTGGGGCTTAATACTAATGGATGGACTTTTGAATAAGCAAATAAATAACAAAAAAACGAAAAAGTCAAAGTACTTTGATGGATTACAATACGTCCACCCGATGAAGTGGTTTCAAGAAGGTGTGACATTAGGAAATGGATTTCAGTGCGGCTTATCTCGGGAGACCATTTCTTATGTTTCAAATAAGTTATTTTATAACTGTTTGGTGTTCAAAAACAAACAATGTATTTCGGACATAATTTAAAAATGTATAAAGTTCAATTTAATTTGGAGAGGAGCTTCACAGTTTTATTTTTTTTTTTTTTGTGGTGAAAGATTTATTGTCAAGTTTCATCATTTTATATTTAACCTTTAAATATATTTGTTTAATTTGCACTTTTTTCTGTTCATTTATCTGTTCATTCTTATTAAACTGTGGGTTAAGTATGAAGTCTTCCTCCTCTCCTGGTATCATCCATATTCCCCACCCTCGCCACTCCGCAGAAAAACGCCGATTAAAGTTTATCAGAGAACGTTATTTACTTAAGCATACAGATGTGTTATTTCATAAACCGACGGATGCAGAGCAGAAATTTAAAGGCACAGGCTGGCGGTGGCGGTGGCGGTGGCTCGCTCTCAAGTGCGTCCGAAAATAATGAAGTCTGAATGGGAGCTAATTGAATGAATCATTAATAATAAAACAGAGGCGCATCCGGACCGGCGAACTGCCGAACTGCCGAAAAGCCGGAGGCCGAAGTCTTGTTGCGTGGGAATGGAGGAGGCACTCCACTACATTCCACGGCCTTACGAGGAGGCGGAGGGCACCGGGATGACGGTCTGGAAGAGGTGGAGCCGGGCGTCGGCGTGGCCAAGCTTGTTGGTGGCGTTGCAGTAGTAGTCCCCGAAGTCCTCCTCCGCCACGCTCTCGATCCGCAGCACGGAGGTGGTCGTTTCCGAGGAGGAGGCGGTGATGGCCACCTCGTGCTGGCGACTCGACTGCAGGGCCACTCCGTTCCGGTGCCACACGACCGTGGGAGCAGGGTACCCCTGCACGGAGCACTCCAGCTCTGCGCTGTGGGAGACCATCTGCGCCACCTTGGGGCGCTGCACGGCGATCTGGGGTCGGAACTCCACCTCGACGCGCACCAGCCGCTTGTCCGGCTGACCCTCTCCGTTCTGGGCGATGCAGTAGTACCCTCCCCGATCCGTTCGGTGCACCGTGCGAATCCGGAGAGTGGGTTCAAAGAGCACGTGTCCTCCGGCCGGCATCACGGCATTGTGCTCGCGGGCCCAGGAGATCGTCGGCTTGGGGAAGCCGTTCGCGTGGCAGGTGAGCTCCAGGTTCTGGCCCTCCGTCACCAGGGTGCTCTTCGGCGTGCTCTCGGACACCACGGCCGGGGTCTTGATCTGCAGACTCAGCTTCTTGCTCACCTTCTCCGTGGCGGAGACCAGCACCTGGCACTCGTAGGGCCCCATGTCGCTCACCTCGATCTTCTGGATGCGGAACGAGTAGGTGGCACTGCCTGCCTTCGCTCCTTCGGTCACCGTGACATTGTACCGCTGGTCGGGGAGACTGAGGATGTTCCGGATGGAGAGCACCACCGAGCTGGCGTCCGACTCGCTCGTTCCCTTCGCCCAACTGACGGAGAGCTGGCCCACCTGCTCCACGGTGCAGTTGAACTCGACGGTGTCGCCCACGCTGGCCACCACGTCCTTGCTGATCTGGCTGATCACGGGTCCTCCGAGGACGGGATCGGAGGAGATGGCCAGGCCTAAGAGCAGACCAATGTACAGCTGCAGACTCGCCATGGCTGCTCTGCAAGAAAAACCATTCGAAAATATAAGTTCCGGCAATCTTTATCTTATCTTCGATTAAGTAAACCATATAAACTTAGGAATCACTTGAAAAAATTACTATCTCGACGTATTTAATTGAAATAAAAATGTTGATTAATATATCCGAGTATTGAAAGTAATAAACATTAGTTTAAAATCTCATTTATAATATGATCACTTCACAGAATGGTTTTTAATATTGCTTTTAAGCTTGCAAATTCGAAAATATTTTATAAGATCTTTTCACTTTGTTCGGTATAATTTGTACACTCTTCTCAGTTTGCTAGATTTGTTAATATGTGTCTCTCAGATTTAGTAGATCTATTTACAGGATATTGCTGGTGATTCCGCTTTCTGTTTCTCAGTTATCACGATTGTCGGGGGTTCAATGCGCTTCTCTTCGCGTTCAGAGCTCGACTGAAGCGGCGGAGGCGACTGAGCTCGGCTCAGAAGTCCGTATCTCTGCCGAAGTGCTGCCCTCTCTATCTCGGAAGCGGTTTTTTTTTTATTGTTCCTGACGCGCCGACGTCGACCGCTCGTTATCTCCTCAAACCCAAGAAGAGTCCCGAAAATTCTACACCGCGAGAATGTGGCAGAGAGACATCGTAATGATCGATCGCCTCGTCTAGACTTGGGTCGCTTCTTAATTGTTACACTCACAACAATTTTAGTGGAAGTCCTAGTCACTGGTACACACATTTGGTTAAATACTATAATATAATGTTTTTATTGCCACAAAACAGACTGATTACCATTATAAAAAAAACTATGTTATCAAAAAATACGTCTTTAGGATGAACCTTAATGATATTGGTTCATTTAATGTTTAACTAAAATGCAACATTTTAGATATAAATAACGATTTTGGTTTTATTTGTTTTAATGGTTAAAAACATTCTTATAAACGTATATGTAAAGAGTTGTTTTTTATTATACAAACTATGTTATTAATGTTGTTTTCGGACATAAGGGTTTTAAAATAACTTTTTATAAATCAGGTATTTAATTTGTTTTGTATACAGTAGAATCCTGTTATAACGACTCCGCTTATAGTGTCCGTCCGGGTTGTGCGTCGAAAACTCGATGGTTTGGTTGGCCCCCATACAAAATTATATGAAAGGGCCTCCGCTTAGAGCGTTTCCGCTTTTAGCGACAAACCGCTTATAAGAATGAAATTTTTCAAGAAAATTGAAAAATTTAACCGGATATTGCGTCGTGCCGGAAAAAATACAGTGCTATAGTTCAAAATTTAAGCATCAAAACACGCTGTTAGAAATGTATGTATGTATTTATCAGTGATTGTGTGCGTAGCAGCGATACGAAGGCTCTTGCACTGGCACAACTCTCTGTTAGTTTTAGCTGTCGCCTTAACAACGCTGCTGCGAGAGAGAGAGAGTCGAAGTGCAATGCCGACGTCACACTGTGTGTGCAGACCTCATTTCTATTGAATAGACTCTATTCCATGAGATGTCCCGTTATATTTCTAGTTTTTTCTGCTTTTTTCCGAGTAAAACTGAATGTTTTAATTTGCCAAATGCAATACATATGTGCAATAATAAGCTCATTCAGTTTTCAGTATTTAGAAAAACCTATGTTTTTTAATTTAATTTATTAAATTTTTTGTTTAAATTAAAAAATTGATTTGATTTATTTTAAAAACCTATTACAAACACAGCAACCATAAAATAATCAAAAAAAAAAAAATTTTTTTTCCTCCTTTTGCTTAGTGCGTCTTCCGGTTATAACGACGAAAAATGGCCGGTCCCTTGAAAGTCGTTATAACCGGATTCTACTGTATTATATTTTCGCAGTGCGTTTCCCGAAGACAAAGTCATCGACGTTTTGGATCTTATCTCCCTTCGCCTTATTTACTTTGTCGCCTTGTATTTGTGTTTGTTCCTGCATCTGTATCTGTATCTGTATCTGTGTTTTGTGTACTTAAATTGTTTACTTGTGCGTGAGATTGACTTCGGGCTCACTTATCACTGCACTCGCTCCTTCGCGACTTTAATTGATTTGTTTTGCTGGCCGTCGCTGCGTCCACCCCGCCCACTTCCCATCCCACGCCCCCTCCACTGCCCACAAGATAAGCGGCCGTTGCAAAAACAAAGCGCCAGCGAAAGTGGCCACTGGCAAACTGAGAACTAAGAGACGGAGTTCCAAACTCAAATCCAAATTCAAATTCGTGCCGCCAGTCGGCCGTAAACGTTTAAGGATTCGCGGAAGGGCGGCGGGTGGAAAAGCGAAGAAGGTGGAATGCGAGCCATTTGTGATTTATGGCATGGCGTGCTATTTTCCGCCGCCGGCGAACAAAAGCAACAACCATGGCGAGCGGCCTCTGGAATATCCTGGCCGCTCTGGAAATGCCAGCGATCCCAGCGCCGACTGGTGCTGTCTCTTTCTGTCGAGGAGCAGGGGCGCATGCGTGAAAAGTAAAAAGGAAAGGGGGTGGAACGCGAAACGGGTGGTATTGAATTCACACTCAGCCATGCTGGGAAATTCTGCGGGAAATTTAAGCAGCAGCAGCCGGAGTATTTAAGAAGCTTTAAATGGTTTGTAGGTAGAACTGATGTGAATCCTTTATATTTTACTAGAGAGTATATAGGAACTGTAACTTGATCTTGAAACATGGGAATAGTTTTTGGTCAAATGAAATTGGTTACTACTATTCTATATGCTTAAAGCAAAATACATGCCCGGGTTTTAACTACAAGACCAGGAAGAAAAAGTATGTTTCTTTAATATATGAGCTGTATATTTTATATTCTTAGTTTGTTGTATACATTTTATTTACCTTTATTTCTAATTAAAAACTTAAAAAATGTAAGCAACAATTATATTTTTTCTTTTATTGAATATTTGAAAATAGATGTCAACAGACTTCGAAAGACTTAACTAGAATGCCATCGAGTTCCATTCACAAAAAGTTTAACGACTGTCACAAAAACCCTGTAATGAAGGCAATGAGAATTGTTAATTAAACAGCGTTTAGTGTTATCAACTATGGTTCGTTGTAAGCTTGCGGTTGCCGCCAAAACTTTCTGCGAACAGCATTTCATTACCATATTTTGCAACCCGACTCTGGATGAGCGCCTGACCAAGAGTCCCCCTGAAGCGACGAGGTTAACTCGGCTTAGCAGTGGGAAATGATTGATGACGGCGCACTCTGACTGGCGAAGAAATTCCCCTTAAGAGCAGGGCAAACTGCGGCCTCAGTTTTTGGAAATTAAATCACATCTTAAACCGATTCGGTGACTTCTGCCGAAATGACGCCGTTCCCATGGGAGGCAGCTGCATCTGTCGCCCGCACTCCCCATCTCCCGGAGTTGCCTCCGAGAATGCGACTGCACATTCGAATCAGATAATTGTAAATTGTGTAAAATAATAAATTTCCAGTTAACTATCTGTGGACCGCATAGGGCGCTCCTATTCCCCTCTCCTTTCCTCCTCAACTGCGGGTTATCCTCCGCTTTGGTTGCATTCCGGCAGCGTCATTACGACCGTTGCGTCGATGCCGCTCTGGATCCAGGTCCTGGTGCAGGTCCTGCCAGCTCCTGGCTGCTTTATGCACTCGGACTACACGCTCGACTTCGTCCGACCGAACTGGACACACACCGAACGAAAGAGACAGCTAGAGGGTGTGCGACAGAGATGGCTGCCAGGCGCAAGCGGATCCAAAGCAGAAAATGTCAAATTTTGTAATTTATTACCCGAATCCTGTTTCTGTCAGTGACTCCTCGGGTGTTTCGCTTGGGCAGCGGCACACAGAGGACCTTTGGAAGCGGGATGAGGGGAAAAGTCCTTTGTCACACACTGCGTGTGAATTTGTGGCCCAATTCCGCACAGTGGTTCCGCGCACATCCTTTTCCTGCAGCCACACGAAAAAACCCACAGAACTTCGGTAAAGTTAATGTGGCTTTATTTTTTCAAAAGTATATTTGGGGGTGCGAGATATTATATCTTCCTAATAACATAATTTACACTTCGATTGATTGAAGTGGAGTTGTGATATCAGATATCTTTAGGGGGTTCAAAATTTGGTTTCCCCTTTTTACACAAATATATAATAACTTTTATACTTTACATACCTAGTTAGACAATAAAATATAAATATTTTTGTTTCTGTTGACTAAAGTGTTAGAACAATTTCCATTTACATTTAAAAGGCATTTGTATACACAAATATAAGATAAAACATTTTTTATAGCAAAGCTGTATACTTCATTTTTTGTTTAATTCCAAGTGTTAACTTATTTAATGTTTTACTAATTAAGATAGTTTCAAGTTTAAAGTCCTATTGTTGTATATATTTTCATAAACTGCAAAACTTAATGGTTCTCTTGCTTTAGCTTTGATTCCTAAGTAACCACTGTACCTTGTGTGTATCCTTTGGCTTTGACTATGTGCGCGTATTTTGTTTGCCTTTTGGCTGCACTCCGACTCCGACTCCGCCACCAAGTGGAGTGTCTGTGAATTGACTTTTGTTGCCAGTTGGCAGCGGCGGCAGGAGCAACAAAAGCCACGCCAGCAGCAACAAGCTTATGCCAGATCCCAAAAGCAAACACGACAATTATTCGGTAAACGTCATTAAAAATATTTCACTTAAAATCTTCTGAAACTTGCTTAAAGGTCAACTGACTGGGAGACTTTATTTATAATACTTTTGAATACTTATTTAGAATACTTATTTAGAATACTTTGTTATTGCAATTAACATGCTATATGGTAAACTCAGTTGAGGAGAAACATTTCAGAAACATCGACTACAACCATAGAAAATCTTGTATAAACAGATATCTCATATTTACAATTTTGTTAATGTAAGTTTCAATTTTTGGTTTTTTTTCAAATTAAAGCAGTTATATATTCGAAACAACCCGCTATAATATTAGGTCTCTCAGCTCTTGTCAGTGCGCAATAACGCTTGAGCCTATTTCCGGCAGAGGGCGCTTTCTGTCTGCTATGGCACACTCAAGCAAACGCTGAGAGCGCCCTTCCTTTTTGTAGAGTTACCAGACTGTTAAATTTAGAATTTTTTAAATTTTACAATACATACCATGAAAGGAATAAAATGATAACAACTACTATATGCTTTAGATAATTGTTACTAGTCTGTGTCTAATTTTGTTAAAATTCGCTCATTCTACGTTAGATCGATTACTATCCTTAGGTTTTTATTATTTCGTCTCCACCTCCTTTCGCCCATCGCTAAATAACGGAATCTTTCAGATGCGAAGCAAGTGGATCGCAAAATAGCAAAATGTTGGCGAAATAATTTCGCGAGCGTCTCGAACGTAACCGGTTACAAAAAATAAAATAAATATTCCACTTTCAATTCAAAAATACCCGCGCGAAGCGAGAAAATCGCTTTAGTAACGCGGCGGAGTGTTTGTGGGGAAAATGGCGCAACCGCCGCCTGATCAAAACTTTTACCATCATCCGCTGCCCCACACACACGCACATCCGCACTCCCATCCGCATTCGCATTCGCATCCGCACCCACATCATCAACATCCGCAGCTCCAGTTGCCGCCACAATTCCGAAATCCCTTCGATCTGGTGAGTGGAAAAGCTTTATCCACAGAGATAACATTTTTTCAAAACATCTACAGTAGAGTCTCCCTATAGTGGAGTTGAGTTCACCAGAATGTTAAATGATACATATAAAATTAAAAATAAAATTAACTTTAGATCAGCTATACAATATTTAATTGTTGGAGCTCTGAAAATTAGTTCATTTATTAATTTCATTATAAATAACTTTCATATAATGATCTTCAATAAAGAAAAAACTTGTGGGCTTCACCTCCCCGATTTACGGAAAAGATAATAAGTTGGTTAAATAATTTGTCACTCCATTCATCTAAACACCTTTTTGTTTGTGGTCCACATTTTCAAAATGTATATTCAAAATTTGTTTAGTCTGCGGAAGAAAAATTTAGTCTTATTAAAAATTTTATAAAAATCTTCTGAAAATATTCAAAAAAGTTTTCCAGTTTTATTAAGAATGTTTAAAGCTGATTTAAATACTTGATTCTAAGGCTATTCCGATCTTTGGGCCGAAAAGAGATCCAGCCTTTCATACTTTTTATATATAAAAACAGTGTAATCTCTGATTCTTTGAAGCTTTTCGATGAGCGAACGGGAGCGATAAACTATAACTACATACGGCCGTATCTGCCGAACCAGATGCCCAAGCCAGGTGAGTGTGAAGTTCGAAGAGGAGCTGTCTTTCTATTGCCTGATCAGATATGTATCCCCCAGAGGAGCTGCCCGACTCGCTGGTGATGCGGAGACCGCGACGCACCCGCACCACCTTCACCAGCTCCCAGATCGCCGAGCTGGAGCAGCACTTCCTGCAGGGACGCTACCTCACTGCTCCGCGACTGGCGGACCTGTCGGCCAAACTGGGACTGGGCACTGCACAGGTGAAGATCTGGTTTAAGAACCGTCGGCGCCGACACAAAATCCAGTCGGACCAGCACAAGGACCAGTCCTACGAGGGCATGCCCCTCTCGCCGGGTCTCAAGCAGGGCGACGGCGATCCCCCCAGCTTGCAGACCCTCAGCTTGGGCGGAGGCGCCACGCCCAACGCCCTGACCCCCTCGCCCACTCCCTCGACGCCCACAGGCCACATGGTGGAGCACTACGGCGAGTCCTTCAACGGGTACTACAACTACAACGGCGGTCACAGCCACACCCACGTCCAGGCCAACCGCCACGTGCACGTGCAGTACTCCTCCGGAGGAGCACCGGGATCAGGAACAGCTGCCAATGGAGGGCAGTTCTTCCAGCAGCAGCAGCATCTCCACCACCATCAGCAGCAGCAGCAGCAGCTGCACCACCAGACCAACCACGTGCCGCTCCAGATGCAACAGCAGCAGGGGCAGCAGCAGCAGTACCACCACTTCGACTTCCAGCAGAAGTCGGCTAGCGCCTGTCGCGTCCTGGTCAAGGACGAACCGGAGGCCGACTACAACTTCAACAGCTCGTACTACATGCGATCGGCGATGTCTGGCGCCACTGCATCGGCATCGGCACCCGCCTCCGCATCCGCGTCCGCTGTGGCTCGCGGCGCTGCTTCGCCGGGCTCCGAGGTCTACGAGCCATTAACACCCAAGAATGACGAGAGTCCTAGTCTGTGCGGCATCGGCATCGGCCTCGGCGGCCCGTGCGCCACCGCCGTTGGCGAGACGGAGGCGGCCGACGACATGGACGACGGAACGAGCAAGAAGACGACGCTTCAGGTCAGCCGAGATGGGTTCTTGCAACCTTCCCTTTCGATACACTTCTGTACAGTCGACTTTTGAGAGTGAGAAAGGGGTTAAAGTTATAAAATACTATATAATTGGAGGAACACTAAAACCTTCATAGAAACTGTAGTCAGGGTTTAACATTCAAACGTCACTTAACTATCTACATTTATTTTTAAAATTTACTAGGTCATTTTTGCTCTACGAAAAAATTTTTCAAAAGTTTTTAAATTATTGTATCATCCTAATTTTTTTGTTTAAATTTTCCAACCATTAGCTTGCTTTCTTTATTTTCTGAAATGGTTATCCGTTGAAAATATGATACAGTTCATTGTAACCATACATTTTAAAACTGGTTGTTATAAGAGAAGATAATTAAGTTAAACTATTTCTAATCCCTGCTTATCTATTCTACCCTCACAGATCTTGGAGCCTTTGAAGGGTCTGGACAAGAGCTGCGACGACGGCAGCAGCGACGACATGAGCACCGGACTGAGAGCCCTGGCGGGAAACGGAAGTCGTGGCACAGCCTTTGCCAAGTTCGGCAAGCTCTCGCCCTTACAGGGCCCCCAGGCGCCCCTCGGAATGGGAGTGACTATGGCCGAGTCAAACCAGTACCAGTGCACGATGGATACGATAATGCAAGCGTATAATCCCCATCGTAACGCCGCGGGCAACTCGCAGTTCGCCTACTGCTTCAATTAGCCTGGACAGGTGGCGTCCGGCGTCCCAGGGAGTTTTATTAGCTTTAGGTTAACCACTGTTGTTCCTGATTGTACAAATACCAAGTGATTGTAGATATCTACGCGTAGCAGGTTAGGACTAGTCTTAAGATCTGTGTAAATTGTTCCTAGGGAAGATTATGTACTAGCCTAGTCAGCGGGCGAGACAGATTTAGTGATATTTGTAGTGATACTCCACACCTTCCCCGCAGTACGCTCTTTGCCCCGATTGCTTCTGGCAGGATGATCCACCAAAGCCCAGGAAAACCCAGTCAGATCCTTTTGGGGCTTTTGGGCTTGAGTGCACTCCAGGGAAGGTTTTTTTTTTTTAATTTTGATTCCGCGCCAGCAAGAAAGTCTGTACTAAAACAACTTGGCATAGCTAAAAACTGTACTAGTCGAAATGCAAAATGTGTCTCTTGGGGGTAATCTTGAATAATGATTACCCCCTTAAGATTGAACATTTAAACAATAATATTCGATTTGATATTTTCAATTTCTACGCTATGCCAATGAATCTGGCATAGTTAAACATTTGCACATTCTTAGTCAAGAAAGCAATATGTTTTATTAGACTAAAGCAGATCACATGTTCTAGTATTCTGATTTACTTGATGCCTGTGGAATAAGAAACCTCTTCACTTATTATAATATGTATTATTACAAATTAAACTTAAATCTGTTAAGCCCACAATGTACTTTAAGAACGGTGCACCTTTTATGTTGTCTATTTTAGTTTTTTTAATCATTGAGGCAAATATATTAACTACTCCAATCGAGTAAGCCATGACTAACTAAATATTTAAGCGAATGTGGAAGGACACGTAGACCCCTCTCTCCGTCTCTTTCCAGGATGAACGAAAACAGTATCTGGTTTTCCCGAAAATCTTATGAATTTAAAAATGCACTTTATGGCACATACTCACACATGCCTGCCATAAAAGGGGATTCGCGATTTTCCCCGAACACCCGCGAGTCGTAAAACTTTTGCACCAGCTGCCTGTGTTTGCCTAGCTACCTGATCCGCGACCTTCCGCGATCGGTCGCACTATTTAGGTAGGCACTGTACGGGCGGCTCTCTCGGGGCGCCGTCAGGCAACTTGTTCCCTGTGTTTTCTTTGATATAAATTATGGAAAATCCAGAAAACCAAAGAGCGCCCTACATGAACGAATGTTGATCGGGTTTCTCCCAGTTCTGTAATTTTTATTGATCTCGCTCCTTGGCGCGTTTAAATGGGCGCGTTTTAGAAGGTGGATTACTGATGTGCTGGGAAAAACCACGCCGTAACCATTGTTACTTTTTATCGGCCAATGTTTACTTAGGCCTGGTTTCTGAATTAATATAAACAATGCACAATAACAAACATACTATAATTTGTAAATTTTTTCTAATATTTTTTTCGTTATGTAAACGATTTTATTAGTAGGATTTAAGATGGTGAATTATTATAATCAATACATCGTATTATAAAATTTCTATTTCTTTTTAATATTTATTTTATATTTAAATGTTTTTTTCATTATCAAAATGTTTTAACAATCCGAAATAAGTACTGATTTAATGTTCCTAAATGTCTTATATTTATTTTTTTCTATTTAAACGCCTTGTTTTTAAGCTAGGCTCAGATCGGGTTGTTTTAATATTGTAAATATGTAATTTTAGTCTTGTTTAAAATGAATAGCTTAAATATTAACTTCTACACAAAGTCTTGTAAAATATATAATTCTATATAATTATGCTTACTAATATTTAGCTAAACAAAGAATAATCTTTAAATAACCATATTCATGTTTGCTTTAAGTTAAGATCTCAACTGTACCATAGACATTGCCACATTTCCACACGGTTTTCCTGCCATGACTTCTCCTTTGTTCCAGCGTATTTTTAGCGAATTCCCAGAAGGCGCAAATCCGATAGCGCCAGTAATAAAATTTGCGAACAGTTCCCGGTTCCTAAGGACTGAGGACGGGAACCCTAAGGGATCCGAGAACCGCGACGGATTCGGACTCGGATTCGCATTCGCCGCGCCGGAGACCCGGCAACAAACGGAGTCATAAACGGTCCAAATCGAGCATAAAACCCCGAGGAGCATCCTTTCTCGCAGCGCTGCTTTCATTGCATTATGAGGATAATTGCGGACGGCGAGCGACCAAAAGCCGCGACAACAGCCTCGGTTTCACTTTCAGCGCCGCCAGCGGAGGCTCTTTCAACAGGTGCTACAAGTTGGACAACAATCGCCGCGCAGCTCCGCTCATCATCAGTCCGTCTACCTGGCGAGACTGGAGATCGGGCCTCGGGAACTGTCTCACGCAACGCCAGATCCTGGCAGGATTCCGATCAAAACAAGCCCCTGAATGCCCATACCCGCGGCCGGAGTCGTCGGACTTGGCTAGTCTCCGAGGTGCCAGTCGGCCAGCGACGAAGGGATTTACGACTCGCGGGCTTAGGCAAATTTTTGGCAACGCTGGCTCGCCCATTTGACCTGCCCGAGGTGCTTACCTAAGCGGCCTCCTATATAAGGTTGGTGTTTGCTTAGGACGGCAGATCATTCCGCAACTGACAGCCCAGCAAAGATGTCATCCGTCATGCATTACTATCCAGTGCACCAGGCCAAGGTGGCTCCGTATCCAGCGACTCCCTCCGAGGTCAAATACAGCGATGTAAGTACTAGTATTATAAAACTAAAACTAGCCACTTACTAACCTTATTTATCCCAACTTTTAGTTGATCTACCACCACCACGCTGTGAACCCCATCGGCCTGCCGCAGAACTACCACCAGATGAACTCCAACCCCACCACCCTCACCGACCACTGCTCCCCGCAGCAGCAGCAATTCCACCAGCAGCAGGTTTCCTCGGATGAGAACCTGCCATCCCAACCCAACCAGGACTCGCAGCGGGTGAAGCTGAAGCGATCCCGGACGGCCTTCACCAGCGTGCAGCTGGTGGAGCTGGAGAACGAGTTCAAGAGCAACATGTATCTCTACAGGACGCGCAGGATCGAGATCGCCCAGCGGCTCTCCCTGTGCGAGCGCCAGGTGAAGATCTGGTTCCAGAACCGCCGCATGAAGTTCAAGAAGGACATCCAGGGCCACCGGGAGCCCAAGGCCAGTGCCAAGTTGGCCCAGCCGCAGGCGGAGCAGAGTGCCCACCGCGGCATCGTGCAGCGCCTCATGTCCTACTCCCAGGATCCCAGGGAGGTCGCCGCGGCAGCAGAGAAGCGTCCTGTCCAGGCAGTGGCCCCTGTGAATGCCCAGCCAGATTACGGGCAAGCCAAGGTGAAGACCGAAGTGGCCAGCAACAACAGCAACAGCAGCATGTGCTCCAGCTCCGATCTCAGCGAGATCCTGGAGCACTTGGCCCAAACAACATCTGCTCCAACAACCAGCATCTCCGGTTCGGGAGCCTCCATCAATTCCACCACCAATTCGGCGCCTAGTTCCTCCTCAGGACACTACTCCTACAATGTGGACTTGGTTCTGCAGAGCATCAAGCAGGATTTGGAGGCGGCTGCCCAGGCCTGGTCCAAGTCGAAGTCCACTCCCCTCCTGGCCACTCAGACCTGGCATCCCAGCTCCCAGAACCAGATCCCCACGAGCGTGCATGCGGCTCCTTCCATGAACCTCTCGTGGGGCGAACCTGCTGCCAAGTCCCGAAAGCTCAGCATAAACCACATAAACCCCTGTGTCACCAGCTTCAACTATCCCAATTAGCTGGGAGTATTTATTTAAGTTTAATACTTTGTTAGAGCTAAGCAACCGTCTCTGGCCCTTGGACGCAAAATTCGAACCCAACTCAGTGACAAAAGCATTTACAATATTACCTAATCATAGAGCTAAGCCTTTTTTTTACATCCATACTTCTGTAATCTTATATGATAAATAAAAAATGAAAACCTCATTCCAATATTTTTTAATTCTTGTTAAAACATTGCTATATCTTAAAATCAAATATTAATGTTTGTAAATCTTAGGGATTTATTATCTTGTTCAAGGATACTTTTGCAATACTTTACATTAGATACAGTTTTCCCCTCATCAATCCTTCAAATGTAATATTTAGCCCCCACCACAAAGTCTAAACTCAGCTCATGGGAAAGAAAAAACAAAAAGAAAGGAGGAGGGCGGGTTAATTTTTACCATTTAGCCTGTGTCCCAGTTGTCTTCGGTTTCACTTTTGCATTTAATGTCCCATTGCGGGCGACTTGAGGTCAAGTCGAGGAATTTCCATTGCATCGCCCATCTATTAGTGCCCAGAAAAGTGTCAACCGCATTTACTCGGACAGGTCCAGCCCCGTTCCCGTTCCCCCTCCCACTTCCACTCCCCTTCCGAATCCGTATCCGGATCCAGGTTCAGTTTCATTTAAGCCCGCCGACCGGGTTCCGGTGGTCATCTTGAGCGGCGGACGTGGAGTGTTGGGATTTGATTTATGGACATTTAACCGCACACATTACTTGCTACTGGCTGCGGTGGCTGGCCAGCGTCTTGCAGCGCGGAAATGCGGCACTCAGCCTCAGCTCCAAGGAATTTCCACCAGTCCTTCCAACCCATCCGTCCCTTTGGTCCTTGGGCCCTCGGGTGTGGAGTGGTGTGGCGTGGAGAGGAATGGAGTGCTGTATGTGTGGCAAATTGCTTCCCCTGGGAGGAAATTGTCGCTCGCACTTGCCACGACCCAAGGACTCGCAGAAGGTGTACTCAGAAAAAATACTCTCCACTTTGTATTACACGTATTTCGTTGTAACACATTGATTTATTTTAGAAATTCATAGTGTATATGGACAGAATACAATTCGCAATAGATAAGATTCAGTAAGTAAACAATTCAGTCAGTAAGTTTGACAAAGAGTCATAAAAATACAACAACATTTTGATTTTCATGATTATGATAAATTATATTTTGGAGTTATTTTTAAACTAACATTTATAAATTCTTTCTACAATTGGTATTGGTAAAAATGTAAAACTCTGCTTTTTTAAATCAAAATAAATAAATTGGCCCTGAATGAGAGGGTAAACCTTTCGGGACATTTTTTTCTGACTGTGTCCGTGTGGAAGTCACGGGTCAAAGGGGAGGACCTTCCGCAGGGGGTGGATCCTTGGAATTTTCATGCGCATTGTTGACATTTCCTGACATGTGGTCCGCTTCGCCTCGGCTCGGTTCTGGTTTGGTTTTGGTTTCGGTGTGGCTCTCCTTCGCTGGGAGCATGTCCTGCACATGTTTCGGGGCTGCCATAATGAATATAGATGCCGGACTCGAGGAGCGTGGGCGTGGCTAATCGCCGGGCAATCAGAGGCAGCTAATCAAACTCGCATAAAAAGCAAACAGCAGGAACAAGTAAACAACTCTCCGCGGCCAGCTTCAATTACGCGAAATGCCAATGTAATAAACATGTCCAACAGCACACAGATTGTTCCCATTGTTCAGTTGGCTCGAAGTTCCACGCTCAATCATTCGCTCAGTGGCAACATTGCGGTTTTATTAGCCGGAATCGGGAATTGGGAGTTGGGAGCCGAGGAGCCTTGATGACAATGACAACGCCGCAGTCTTGGCCTGGTCATAACAATAAATTCAACGGCCACAGCGAAGGCTGGGCGCAGAACATTTCAAATTGTTTCTTGTTAATTAAATTAAATATTCACTTGGGAGTCGCACACCCACTCCGCAATGCCCAACCGCAGCGTTTTGTAATTAGATTGAATCTATAATTTTTATGGCTAATCGCCTTTTGGAAGCTTTTGGCTTACAACGGGCCCCCGTCCCGCAGCTTCTGCAATGAATTTTGAATTCGCGGCTGGGACTCGAAAGCCAAGTGCTTGGATTCCCTGCGACAGCCGAGCGAAATGTATTTTGTGTGCAAATGAAATGGCTTCGCTGAGGAATCCACTCAGTTGTGCCGGAAATCTGTGCAAGTTAATTAACGGGGTTATTTCAGTTTGGTGGAGCTAACGTTTTCTTAGCTTAAATTATTTCCTTGTATAATTCAGATGTTTTAATAAAAATAGCAAAATATATATACACATCAGATCTCATTAAAGAAATGTTTTGTTGAAAAAATTAAAATAAATATGTAGGTAAGTAAAAAATATTCTGATTGTCTGTTAGTATTGCAAAACCCACAGTGCAGTTTCGGTTTTATGAATAAAAGATACAAATAAATTATGAGTAATGATTAATAATATACTAAATGGGATTTTTTTCAAGGTGAAACCTTTTTAGCTTAACGTTTGCCATAATTTATCAAGCATAAAATTTTCTACCAAAATCCTTTCTAACTGAATTCTTCCCGTCCTCTTCAATAGCTTTTTGCCCAACTGTTTTGGGCTCAATTTGGATATTTTTGGCACGTTTAAACGTTATGACATTTCACAGACGTGTTAGTCCCTCAACGCCACCAATATGGCCAACACCTGTCGTATAAACAAATCGTGCTGAGCCAGAAAAACTTTTCGTCCATTCCACATGTGCCGGGGTTGCGCTGTTTTGGCCCACAAAAAATATGCATATATAGTGAACAGCAGGCGCAGGAAACTCTTCTTATTTTGTATTCCACTGAAGATTGCGAATGCGTGAAAAAAATCACTTCAAAATTTGAATGCCAATTGCTACGGGACAAAGCGCGGGTAGTGGAGCATTTAGCGCCCCAAAATGGAATTCCCTGGCATACAACGGATTTTTTGTTGTCCCAACCCGGACAAGAGTCACTTGGGTCGAAAGCCGTGATGTTGTTGAAAGCATCTGTTGCTGAATTTATATTACCTTTATAGACGGTTTTATCATTTTTTTAGCAGTTCAGTTTTAGACAGTTCAGGAACCTTGGCAACTATTTGTTTAACATTGTATAAAATGGTTGTTTTGTTGTCTTGTCTATTTATATTATAAAAGGATTTTTTATACTTACTTAAAAAACCATTGAAATGATTTAAATTTGGAAACCTTTTTTATACGAGTGTGTTTTATACAAAATACAATACAATAAGAAAATAATTATAAAAGGTTGATATACAAGTTAACGAAATAAGATATAAATACTACTCTATAAAGTACTCTACTAATTTTTATGAAAAATTAAGACAAATGATATTAACGGCTACAATTATCTACAGATATTATTCCTTTTATCTTTGGGTGAAGCCTCAAATTGACACCGAGGAGGAAGTGTCACGCGTGAGACAGTTTCCATTGCAATACCCTTCCATTTGGCGTAATTCAGGTTGATTCCACAACCTCCTACCCACTTAACTGTTTCCATTTCATGGATAATTCGAGCATTCCCTCAACCCTGCAACAGCTGATACGCGGCATATGCAAGTGACCTCCCAACCATGGGGTTGGGCCATATTTATGGCCCGTTGGCTCGTATATTTTTCATCGGTCTAAAACCCATAATTAAATTACGAGAAATTCATTTATAACAATTACGTCGAAATGGCAATCTATGCTGATGATGCCGCCAGGCGGCGAGTCGTTGCCGCAAGGAGCGATACCAACTTTTGCTAACCAACAACGAAATTCGTGCGGAATAAAAAATGCGGTGCGTCATGTGAGCAATTTGGTGTCGTTGTCGTTTGTCCATTTGCCGGCAGGAGCGAAATGGTGCTACAACCAGTTCAGGCTCCTTGCCGCACTGCAATTATTTATCCCCGTGCATTTTGTTTCCGCCCCTTTCCCTGCTAACGTGGCCAAGAGAGCCCGGCGCTTAAGCATGTCCATGTCCGGTTGCCAAGTTCGCGTGTGTGTGTACATACGTGTGTGTGTTAGCCGGCTCCTAAATGCTTGGTCCACACGACACAGACACATATCCGCCACCCAGCTCTCACTCGTCAGGTATCCTTTTCTCCACCCCGTCCCTCCACTTCACCTCTGCACCACTGCAGGTAATGTGCCAGCGACATGCACTTCCAGGTGAGACGAAGGAGTGAGCGAGAGGGCGGGATGCACTCGCAGAAATATTCCACAAAATGGCAGAACAGCGAAATCCATATTTTTAAAAAACATCACATCAAACTTTTCGTGATAGCCAAGATCTGAAAAGAATATCATAAACATTTTGAGTTCATTACTATAACTACTGTTCGTTAAAATTCCCAAAACTAGGTACTTAATTAAACAATTAAACTTTATTATTCCATAACACCAGGATATGATTAGATAAACTATTAACATAAAATCGATTAGCTCATAAAGCCCTTTGAAAAATATTGTGTTTATATTGCCAACAAGAAAACAGAGTTGTGAATACTTAGATAATATTCTTAAGAGTAATTGCAAGAATTAATTAACAAGCCGATATTTTCGCTGACTGTTTTACTACTTGTGCAGAAGACGGGGCTTGAGGGGGCTAGATTCAGTTGGGCTGAGATTGCGGCTCTACTATTATTAGATGCCATTATGTTTTATAGTCTATAATTGATCCTTTGAGCCACGCTGAGCTGAGCATGCATTTGTGCATTTCTTTATCTTACAAATTGTATGAGATTAAATGAAAAGTAATGTGAGCGTGAGTTTGAATGTGACTATCAGCCAGAGTGCTAGTAACAGGGTATGCAGGTGTGTGTTTGTCTACTCCCGTAATCATGTAAACGATTCAACGCAAATGACTAGCAAAATCATAAAAACTTATACTCGGTATAATTCCCAAGTGTATACAAAATAAATATTAAATCGAAGTTATCCAAGACGAAGAGGTAATAATCGTATTAACCTGTTACACTTAATCTTATATGACCATTAGGAGTCATTATAATATTTACGTTTCATTCTTATTTTAAATCCGATACTATCGATAGTACCTTTAATGCCCATGAACAATTTTTGACTGCATTGCTAGGCAACCAGTTGGTTATGGGCACTAAATAATGCGACCCCAAGTTGCCACGCGATTCGTTTGCCCAGCTGGTAAACAGTCTGTGTAAACAAGAGTCCCCAAAAACAAATATTTGCTTGAATCCGTTGGTCATTATTTAATATTTGGGGACATGTATTCCCTGCAACACCCGCAAATCGATGAGCGATTTTTGGATTCGGAATCAACAGTTGAAGAGGTGGTCAAGTTACTGGAAAACCTTCGCGTGCCCCAAGAGTAAGTGGTGTATACTTTCTTAAAATAGTTGAAAGCATTTTCATTTAGGGAGGAAGAAGGAGTTGATCAAGCAGTTGTTCAAAAGGACCCAAAACCTATGATTTTAACAGATGACAATTTTATAATAACTGATCGGAAACAATCTTCAGCTGCTATTTCTGCTTCCAAAGATACGGTTCCCAAAAATAAATCGATCCCGAGAACTTTTAAACGTATAGATCGGAGTAAAGATCGATTTCCTTTTATGCGCCAAGTGGAAATGGATCTCGATCAACGCTCTAAAGCTCGATTGGAGAGAGAACGAGTGGCTCAAAACTTTCGAAAGTCAGTATTAGAGTATCATATATGGTCACATATCTAAGTTAACACAGTTAAGGAGTAACTTATAAGTCGGTACAAATATGTGGTGGTTCTCGGATCACCCTATTGCCTTTATGTGCAGATTAAGCATAAATCGCCTTTAGGGGCCGTGCCTGGTTCCCGGCGTGGTGAGTTATGCATTTTCTGCTTGTGTCAGCATTTTGGTATGACAAAGCGGTCGGCTCGCCGGCCACGTACAGCTTATAAGTTCAGTTTTAGTTTTGATTTTGAATAAAGAACATTTAAATGTAAAACTCCGGCATTGGCCGTTAACACTTATCTTATTGATTGAAATTGGTTATCGTGCCTTAAGGGCCGTTAGCAACGGAGTCAGTTACTCCCATCATAATCTTCCTAATAGAAGAGGAAAGAGAGCCAGTGGCAACCGCCCGGCTCACCCAGGAAAACAACCAGCCACGGGGACACGTGCGCCTTTACCCCCACCCCCGGAATCAGCTACGGTTGTAGTAGGACAGCAGCCCCTTACCCTCACGGACAGCGGCGAGGGACAGAGAGTGGTGACCCGTCCTAAATTATAATTGGCACCCAACTCGATAGGATTCACGTCCCGAAATTTTAGACAAAAAAAATATGTAAGTGGTCTGATCTTATTAATCAGCTTCAAATTGTGAAAAAACCAACACACACATACATACACTGTAAAAAAAATAAATAAATAAAATTAAATAAATTATATAAAACACGCAAAAATCTAAAACAAAAAGAAAACCATTTAAGCTTTCCTTTAGCAGGTGTGATTTTTTTCGTAAATAAAAATATTTGCTCTACCGCCCTCAAACAACAAATTTTTTTGTAGTGTTCTAACGCCAAAAGACCGGTTATTTATATTAAATATATATATTAATATTTCAAAAATTCAAAGCCCAGTTTCTGCCGAATCAAGTACTCGGCCACAAATACATACATTAATAATACAAAAAATAATAAATATATAAAATCCCAAGCCAAAATTAATATCAGCCGAATCAAATATTCGGCCATATGTTATAACATAAGTGTTTAATGTTGACAATAGAGTAGCCTTATGAGCTTTCAGGGCCCATATAGGGAGATTAAACGAGAAATTGAAAGTGAAAGTGAAGAAGAGTGGGACCGAGAGCCCCAAGGGTATCAACCACCACAAATACTGGAAGAAAACATAGACATTATGAACGCGGCCAACATAGAAGCTTTGATTCAGGCCGCATTGGCTCAACAGGAACAAAGACTTAGAGCAGAGTTCCAAAACCAAATTAGTGCAGTTAATCAACAACTACAAAATCTGCGCGTAGAGGCGCCAGAAGTCGAAACATACCAGAGAATTTCTGTGAGTTCAGTACCGGTGCCGTGTGACATACCGTTACACATAGTAAAGTCGATCCCAGATTTTACCGGGGTACAGGATGAATACGTGGCGTGGAGACAGTCCGCCACAGACGCCTATGAGTTATTTAAACCATACGTTGGCAGTACCGCGCATTACCAAGCCGTTACAATTATAAGGAATAAGATTAGGGGACCAGCACGAGCGCTGCTGGTATCGCACAATACAGTGCTTAATTTTGATGCTATTTTGGCTAGGTTAGACTGCTCTTATGCAGATAAAACGTCCTTGCGCCTCTTACGGCAAGGGCTTGAATCTGTCCGTCAAGGGGACCAAACTCTAATGGAGTACTACGATGAGGTTGAACGAAAGTTAACCCTCGTGACAAACAAAATAGTCATGACTCACGACTCAGAAAGAGCCACACTGCTCAATACTGAAGTAAGGGGTGACGCCCTGCATGTATTTATTTCGGGCCTAAAGAAGTCCTTAAGGGCGGTCGTATTTCCGGCACAGCCCAAAGATTTGCCAGCAGCACTGGCTTTAGCTAGGGAGGCAGAGGCTAGTATCGAACGAAGTATGTTCGCGGCCACATATGCCAAAGCTGTCGAGCAGAGAAATCAGAATACTGACTTCCACAAAGGCCAACAGCGTGAGAAACAGGAAAAAAATCCCTATTATTTCAAAAAACAAAATAAAAGCCAGAATAATGATTATTGGCGCAGACAGGACAACTTGACCGATCGGGGTAAACCAGATCAGGCTCCAGAGCCCATGGATTTAGACCCATCACTTTCTAAGCTTAGATACCCAACGAGTTTTAAACAATCTAAGGGGAATAATAATAATAATAATACACAGTCCCCCACTCCTCAAAACCCAAAAAGACCAAACTCTTCTGAAAGAATGACTGGTCAGAGGCGCCAACGGATAAACAACGTTGAGCAAGCTGCTGAAAAAGACCAGGACTACGAAGACGCGGCCGCAGCTGCACTGAATGTAATAGAGCAGGACAGCGACTCACTTGACTCAAACGATCTTCTCAATTTTTTAGAGGAAGGTCCCGCTTACCGTTTATCGAGCGAAGGTTGGCGGGGAGAACTATGAAAATTCTAATAGATACCGGGGCGGCTAAAAATTATGTTAAGCCCGTAAAGGAGCTAAAACACATAATGCCTGTCGACTCCCCATTCTCTGCGAGTACCATACATGGCTCCAGTAAAATAAAAAACAAATGCTTAATGCACATATTTGGCCTAAAGGCCCCCTTCTTTTGCTAGATAGCCTAAGTACGTTTGATGCTATTATAGGTTTCGATTTGCTAACGCAGTCGGGAGCGGCATTAGACTTACGTATCGGCGAAATTAGGTACGGAAACGTGACCGAACAGCTTAAATTCTTCGACTGCCCTAGTGTGAATTTCACAAATGTCGATGAAATAGTAGTCCCGAAATCAGTAAAAGCTGAATTTAGGAAAATGATCATTAAGAGGAGTAAAGTGTTTTCGAGCTCTAACGAGGCGCTTCCATTTAACACCTCGGTCGTTGCTAGGATTCGCACGGAAAGTGACGAACCCGTTTACTCCAAACTATACCCATATCCCATGGGAGCGGCTGAGTTTGTTAATAAAGAAATCAAACAGCTGCTAAAGGACGGTATCATTCGCCCTTCTAGGTCGCCATTCAACAGCCCAACATGGGTTGTTGACAAAAAAGGCTCTGAGGCCGACGGCAGCAAGAAAAAAAGATTGGTTATTGATTTTAGGAAACTGAATGAACGGACCATTGCTGATCGTTACCCGATGCCAAGTATTCCTATGATTCTAGCGAACTTAGGAAAGGCAAGATTTTTCACTACACTCGACCTAAAATCGGGATACCACCAGATATACTTGGCCGAATGTGACCGAGAAAAAACCTCTTTCTCCATAAATGGAGGAAAATACGAGTTCTGCCGTCTACCCTTTGGGCTTAAAAATGCAGGAAGCATTTTCCAAAGAGCGATTGACGATGTGTTACGCGAGCAGATCGGGAAAATTTGTTATGTTTATGTAGATGACGTGATAATTTTTTCCGAAAACGCTGCCGACCATGTAAGACACATCGACACAGTTCTCAAATGCCTATATGAAGCCAACATGAGAGTGGCGCAAGAAAAAACCAAATTCTTTAAAGAAAGTGTGGAATTTTTAGGCTTTATAGTCACAGCAGACGGAGCCAAAACGGACCCTGAAAAGGTAAAGACCATACAGGAATACACTGAACCGAAAAACTTGTTCAGCCTTAGATCCTTTTTAGGATTGGCCAGTTATTACAGAAGCTTTGTCAAAGACTTCGCTTCTATAGCAAGACCACTTACGTCTATACTCAAGGGAGAGAATGGCTCGGTGAGCAAACATATGTCAAAAAAAGTCGCGGTCGAATTTGATGAGAGTCAACGTAGCGCGTTTGAACGCCTGCGAAACATTTTATCATCAGAAGAGGTCATATTAAGGTATCCAGATTTTAAACAGCCTTTCGATTTGACTACCGACGCTTCAGCAAGTGGTATCGGTGCCGTCTTATCCCAAAATGGCCGGCCAATCACGATGATATCTCGCACGTTAAAAGACTGCGAGCTCAATTACGCTACAAACGAAAGGGAATTGTTGGCGATTGTGTGGGCTATAGGGAAATTACAAAATTACCTGTATGGCTCCAAAGAAATTCGAATTTTCACAGACCATCAACCGCTCACTTTCGCCGTCTCTGAGCGAAACACTAATGCTAAAATTAAGCGATGGAAGGCATTCATCGAGGAACACAACGCAAAAGTGTTCTATAAGCCAGGAAAGGAAAATTTTGTGGCTGATGCCTTGTCCCGACAAAATATTACCTCAATACAAACTGAACCCCAATCCGACGTCGCCACCGTGCACAGCGAAGGCTCCTTGACCTACACGGTCGAATCCACCGATAAACCTTTGAACTGCTTCAGGAATCAAATAATTCTTGAAGAAGCATGCCAGCCTTCACGGCGAAATTTTATAATTTTTGGAAGCAAAACTCGCCACATAATAAATTTTAATAATAAAGACTCACTGCTCGAGTTGGTAAAAGAAGTTGTTAACGTAAATGTTGTGAACGCCATTCACTGTGACCTCCATACATTAGCTTGCATCCAGCATGCCTTGGTGCTGGAATTCCCGGCCACTAAATTTTGGCATTGTAAGAAATTCGTGAGTGATATCACAGATAAAAATGAGCAGACAGAAATTATAACTTGTGAACACAACCGCGCACACAGGGCTGCCCAAGAAAATGTGAAACAAGTCCTTCAGGATTATTATTTTCCAAAAATGACTAAGCTCGCTAATGAGGTGGTCATTAACTGCAAAACATGCACCAAGGCGAAGTACAACAGACACCCCAAGAAGCAGGAGTTGGGGGTCACACCAATCCCATCTTATGCGGGCGAAATGCTGCATATCGACATTTACTCCACAGATAAAAAATCATTTTTAACCTGTGTGGACAAATTTTCTAAATTCGCCGTAGTGCAACCATTGCCCTCTAGGGCCATAGTAGACGTACGTGGACCCATCATTCAACTGGTGAACTTTTTTCCAAAAACCAGAACCATATACTGCGACAACGAAGCATCATTTAACTCGGAGACCATAAATTCATTGTTGAAAAATCAGTATGGCATAGACATCGTTAACGCTCCTCCTTTGCACAGTAGCTCCAACGGGCAAGTGGAACGATTTCACAGCACCCTAACGGAGATAGCAAGGTGCATGAAAATTGACAAACAAATTAGTGACACCGTCGAGCTCATTATGAGAGCCACGGTAGAGTACAACAAAACGCTACACTCAGTCATAAATTTGCAACCAAAAGATGCTATGCACTCAGCCAGCGACGAACAAAGGTTGTCAATAAGACGTCAAATTGAAAAAGCTCAACAAGCTAATCTAGACAGATGCAACCCAACCAGACAAAATCGTATTTTTGAAGTAGGAGAAAAAGTATATCTTAGAAATAACAAAAGGTTAGGGAATAAACTAACCCCACTGTACACAGAAGAGCGCGTACAAGCAGACATGGGAACGTCTGTCCTCATTAGAGGGAGGGTGGTCCATAAGGACAACCTCAAATAAAACCCTTTTTAATTTTTCTATCGGTTAACACGCACCCTACACTAACATATATGTTTCCTATAAGATGCACAGTAGTTTAACCTTTCGCTTCTTTACAGGATCGCGGGGATTGTAATAATAACGTTAGCTGTAGTCAACGCTAGAGTGACAGACTACTCCCACGCCCAATACATACCTATAACGGACGGGATCGCACTGGTGTGGGAACAGAGACATATTTTGCGGCACTCAAGCAATTTAACGGAATTCTCAGCAATGATAGATGAAACTGCCAAGTTGTCCGATTTATTTCCACAGTCGCACATGCGAAAATTGCTAGAGGTCGACACTGACCATATTAGAAGCTTATTGTCCGTCTTAAAAGTACACCATAGAATGGCCAGAAGTCTAGACTTCTTAGGTACCGCACTTAAGGTGGTAGCGGGCACTCCTGACGCATCTGACTTTGAAATGCTTAAAATGTCCGAGTACCGACTGATAGAGTCAAATAACAGGCAGATAATCATCAACACACAAACGCAGGATAAAATCAATAAGCTCACAGATACTGTTAATAAAATTATTAAGGCAAAACAAAACAATATAGTTGACACTTCACACTTGTACGATGTTCTTTTGGCCAGGAATAGAATATTAATAACCGAGATTCAAAATTTAATGCTAACAATCACACTTGCTAAGGCCAACATTATAAACCCTGCAATTTTTAACCACGATGATTTGAAGACTGTATTAGTAGATCACCCCACAGAGGTACCTATCATAAGCCTACTAGAGGCATCTAATATTAAAGTCCTTCAGTCCGATAATATTATCCATGTGCTGATCGCATATCCTAAAATTAAAATTACATGTAAAAAGGTCACAATCTTTCCCGTATCACACCAACACATTGTTCTGCAACTACAGGACAACGTAGTAGCCGAATGCAACAATGATGTCCTAGCAGTCACTGAATGCGCATTAACAACTTACGCATCCTTCTGCAAGCTGGCAACACACGATACTTGCGCTCGAGGCCTACATGCGGGGGATATAGCACAATGCGAAACGCAGGCCAGCCATTTAAGTCCCATCACATTGGTAGACGACGGAATACTAATTATCAACGAGTGTCCAGCTCGGGTCAGCACTGACTATGGCCCTGAAATAACTACCAATGGCACTCACCTCATTACGTTTGAGCGAGTAGCTGTTATTAATGGCACTAAGTATTCGAATCAACGAGAAGCTATCAAGAAAACACCTGGCATGGCAGCGTCCCCGTTGCTAAACATCGTTGGGCACAATCCAGCGCTAAGCATGCCCCTCCTCCAAAGAATGAACAACCAAAATTTGGAGGTTATCCAAGGGCTTAAGGAGGAAGTAAAATCGGCTGGAGCCACCAACATCTGGTTCGCCGTTGGCGTGGGAATCAGCATCCTTATCAGCTGCTCTATCCTACTCCTCCGGGTGTTGAGGAGGAAACGAGCGGCGCAGGAAATACAGCAGGTCGTCGATAAGTTCCAGATGACCGAGGACGTTCATACTTCCAAGGGGGAGTAGTTAACACAGTTAAGGAGTAACTTATAAGTCGGTACAAATATGTGGTGGTTCTCGGATCACCCTATTGCCTTTATGTGCAGATTAAGCATAAATCGCCTTTAGGGGCCGTGCCTGGTTCCCGGCGTGGTGAGTTATGCATTTTCTGCTTGTGTCAGCATTTTGGTATGACAAAGCGGTCGGCTCGCCGGCCACGTACAGCTTATAAGTTCAGTTTTAGTTTTGATTTTGAATAAAGAACATTTAAATGTAAAACTCCGGCATTGGCCGTTAACACTTATCTTATTGATTGAAATTGGTTATCGTGCCTTAAGGGCCGTTAGCAACGGAGTCAGTTACTCCCATCATAATCTTCCTAATAGAAGAGGAAAGAGAGCCAGTGGCAACCGCCCGGCTCACCCAGGAAAACAACCAGCCACGGGGACACGTGCGCCTTTACCCCCACCCCCGGAATCAGCTACGGTTGTAGTAGGACAGCAGCCCCTTACCCTCACGGACAGCGGCGAGGGACAGAGAGTGGTGACCCGTCCTAAATTATAATTTCTACTCTACTTTCCATGCAGATTGGGAAACGCTGAGTACCGAAAGGGCAACTACGAGACTGCTATGAAAATGTACACCGAAGCCATTGAGAATATCCGGGATAGCCACATTCTCTACATAAATAGAGCTCTCTGCTTCATCAAGTAAGCAATATATAAATTCCTTTCCATTGTTTTCACCTAATGATTTCTATTTTATCGCCGCAGATCGGGCAAATACAAACGAGGCATAGTCGACTGCGATTTCGTGTTGAACAAATTGGATGAGAAGAACCTGAGGGCGTGGATGTATCGTGCTATGGCCTACAAAGGCCTCAATGATGAGTCCAATTTCGAGAACTGTGTTAAATATGCCCGCAAATTCAATTCGAAGCAGATGGAGTTCATTGATAATTTCCTGGAAAAGCTTAAATAAAATTGGGGGGATTGATGACGAATATTTTGGACTTTTGAGTTTGTTGATGGGAATGATTTTAAACCAGTTTATATCCCTAACATCGAGCTTATCATACAAAACACTCTAAGCTTTAAGGAAGAATATCCCCTTCTCCTTTTTTAAACCCTTTACCCTCAAAACTTGAAGTGTTGTTTACATATGACAGCAGGAGTATCGTGCTCGGTGGCTCAACTCTTTCGATTCCATTCCGATGCCATTCAATCGAAGTCAGGCACACAGGGCACATCCTCTGCCCCATCCTCCGCGGCAACCACCCTGGATGAAGGCAAACAATTCGATGGCGGTAATCAATCTTCCTTCACTCTCTGCCAGCTGACAGCTCCGTGGTGTAGAGTCAAATTGCGATCTTTGTTTGTGCCGGGTCCGGGTTTCGGGCCAGGACGGCAGAACGGAGAACGGAGACCGTACGGCGGAGAGCTGACACTCAGCATTGGCATGTCTGAACACTCAGCCAAAAAAAAACCATTTATAAAATGTAAAAAAAAAGTTTTTACTTGTTTGTAAAATTGTAAAACACAATTTGCAGATAAAATATACGAGACAAATGTTTAAATTAAATATTACCCGTATGTTTAGAATAATTAACTCAAGAATTATAATTTACCAATAAAAAATATTTGGATTTCGGCATTAAAATATCTCACATTTTTTGTGAACTACAAATATAATATTTGACTATTCTAATTGAAGAGTACCCAAACAAAAAAATGTTTTAATTAGTTGGCAAAACACTTTCTCAGAAACTTAATACCTTAAACCTTTTTAGTGTTAGTATTTATTGTTAGAAAATATATTAAAAATGCGAACTAAGTTTAAAAGAAAAAAAATGTTTCTTATAAAGAAATCTTATAAAATATATGTTTTGATTCTTTTATTTCTTTCCATAAAAATCGAAAACCTTTGAAGAGGTAATACTAACGACACTAGGGAAAGTGCATTATTAAAAACGTTAACAGAATTACAAATAAACACCTCTAGTACAATTTTTTGTAGTGCTTTTTTGGAAGATGGGAGATACCGATGGGGTGGAGCATGAACCGGGGTCGACTGTGCCATTTATGCGTGTCAAAGGTTGCGTGGCACAGGCGGAGGGCGACAGATTGAAGCCGAGGCAGGCGACACAAATGTTGTACTTGTCACGGTTGTTGCGGTAGTTGCATCTTGTTCTTGGGTGGGTGGTTCATGGGGCAAGGGCAAGGGGAAGGGGAAGGGAGGCGGTGGTGCCATAGGGGAACTCCGAATGAGTCGGTCCACTGAGAAGGCACAAAATTCTTATCCACTCATTAATCCTTTCCATTTAACACAATTATCTGACAGTTATGTCTCCTTTTATTGCATCTGAACAATAGGGAATAGCTAAACATAAAGCGCATCAATCAATTGTTTTCCGCAACTCATGGAGTGTATTTACCGCTCTTAATCGAGGTGTTATTTTTATGTCGACCAATCGAGTGAAAATATATCAATTAGAAAGACATTAGGCGACAGTTGATCTGGATAAGATCCAAATAATTATCTATTGTGGTCATGGCAACGCATACCAAAATAAATAAAAATTATTCATGTGCTGCTCCTGTAGAATTTTTTCACATACTTCAATGATAGCAAAACTTTGTCGATAATGAAATTCTACAAGTTTCTATTATTGGCATAATCAAATAACTAATAAAAAGACAGAACTCTGTGACAGCTGACGATGAAATATTGTTCACAAAACATGGCGAATCTAATATGATCCGAGTGTCCTCATCTTCTTTCCATGTGACACAACACGCTGGCCGAGATGGAAAAGCTGAGCAAAATTTCAATATGCTGGAAATCACTTTATGATGTGATGACACCAATTTATCTGAGCTCACTAAAGGAGAAAGAGGAGCCTGCCGTTGTGACCACAAAATTGTTCGGCCAAATGGTTGCCAAGCTGCCTTCATATCTTAACCAGCTAAAAACGTTGTAGGTGAATAAATTTTCCCCTTCTAAACATAAAATGGAAAAAATTATATTCGTTTTAATTTCTCTAGGTTTTTAAAACAATGCGAAGATGTTTGATTGTTATTAAAAATGAAACTATTTTCCTTATATATATTCTAGTATTACAAAATACTAACATTTTTAATGAAAGTCACTCATTTTAAGTCAAAATGAAAAAGATTTACTTAAATTCCAATATCACAAGAATTATTTCTCCTATTTATAATTAAAGTCTTTTTACTTTTAAAGAACATGAAAAAAATGTATGTCAGTGTATTTAATACCAATTGTTAAATAAGATTAAAATTATTTCTATGAAAGTAAAGTTTCATATTTTAGGGTAAAATTTTGTTAAACTTAGCCCTATCGATAATTCCTTTGGATCAGATAAGTTTTTGGGACCGAGATTATCATGATTTGGTTTTAGTAAGACTTATGCATGTTCCTCCAAGAAAATCTAGTTTGAGTTTACATAAGCCTGAAAGATCGTAAATCTGTGGCAAATAGCACGTAGTTCGGGGGATGTAGCAGATTTTATAGCGGGTCGGATTGGATTAGCTTGAACTGACAGTGACACTTACTTTATGGCGATGGATTAGGTTGGGATCGAATCTCGCACTTTTCTAAGCAGGTAGCTCAACCCTTAGATATTCATAACGAACCTGGAAAACCCCGGGGAAAACCAAAGTCTTTCCCGTTCATGGTCAACAACTACCTGATCGGGGGTTTGGGGTCTGTACTAATCTGCGAAAAAGCTGGGCAGTGATGTAAGTACTACGGATAGGTATCTCTGTGGATCTCAAAGAGATTTTGTAACCAGGTAAACTTATAGTAGTCATCGTTTTTATGTTTTATAAACTGAAATACAGTAAGAGAATTTATTATTTATTTAAGGAAACAATAGAAAATTTGTGTTTTTAGGAAATAAAATAATATATATGTGTTAATTGGTATAGCCAATTTAAAAATAACTTAATGTTCGACACGAGCTCCATTGTTTGTTTATTTTGTTTTAGAAAAGTCGAGCAAAAAACCTCCTCAGACAAAACTATGTACATATATTTGAGTCTGCCTCTAAACAAGACAAAATCAGTCTCACGCCGCTTCCCTGAAAAATGTCGCTTACTCTGGAGCCTCGAACTCACCGTGATTCGGAGCCAGGCCCAAAAGACGAGACATCGACCAGTCCAGACTAGCCGGCTGCCAACCGAGAAGTGTCACAGGCGGGACAGGTAGGAACCAATCCGATTCGTTACCTAAGGATTCAGAGCTATATAAGCAAATGAGTGGACTTCGGGGACATCTAGTTAAAAAACACAACTCAAAGCGAACAGAAGCAACCGATAATACGCTCTCAAAGAAAAATGTTCACCATGGCATCCGAAAACTATTTTGTTGACAATTACTCAGTCGATCCGACTCTGGTAAGTTAAATAATTATCCTGTATATTAAAATAGAGTCTAACCTAACTTTTTCTTGATTTTTTGTAGATGTATCCTTGCATTGACTTAAGCTCGGAAACAGCTTCTGTAGCTGCAAAAAAATCAATGGAAAAATCAAAGAGGGCCCGAACTGCTTTTACCAGTCACCAACTCATCGAACTTGAGAGGGAGTTCCATCTTAACAAATATTTGGCCAGAACTCGGCGAATTGAGATTTCCCAACGATTGGGACTTACCGAAAGGCAGGTTAAGATCTGGTTTCAGAATCGACGTATGAAGTCCAAGAAGTTGGCCAATAGGAAAGTGGCCAAGGGATCTCTGACCACATCTACTTCTACCACCGCCCAACCAAGCGATGATCTTTTGGAGGACGAACTGATCGTTGAGCGCCTCCTGCAGTATGTAAACACAAATGTGGAGCCAGTTCCCCAGCAGCAGGACGCTCCGTTCGTATTTGATGGGGGTCACATCACACCGCCCTATCAAGCCTACGACTACCTTCAAGAGTTTTGTCCTGCTCCAATGGACCTTCCCCAGCTGCCCCTAAGTGAATTCGATTCGAATTGGGGCAGCAATTGGATGGGTCTGGAAGCAACCATCCCTGCCACAGAAAATATTTTAGAGCCCAATATCAACAATCACGTTTATAACACGCCAATGTTGCAGAATAACCTCTGGGACTCGAACAGCTCTGCTTCTGCTTCCAGTTCATCAGAGGATATTCTGGAAGTGGATTATGATTTCATACAGAACTTATTAGACTTTTAAAACAGATTTGAATATCTGTCAATAAGACCGTTACTTATAGTCAATTGTATTATAAATATAATATATAAAAATATTTAATTAATAAATATATTAACTTGTGTAATAAACCAAATAAATAATTAAATAAAACTGATCAAATTCACACTAAAAAATTTAACTTTCTTTAGAATTTTTGCTGAAATCTTCCCTTTGAATATATAATTAGTTTAGAAAGGAAAAGAAGAAATAGCAACATGTCTGCGACGACATTTCTCCAAACATATAGTTTCCCGATTTTGGGCGGAATTATGTGTCTTATTTCCAGCGGAGATATGATGCATTAAAAGGACATATTTGCGCCAGACTACGAACAACATATCTCTGCGTGAATTGTATCCTCGGATATAAGTCATCGAAAAGCATTCAGGCAGTAAAATATTTGTACGAGGTATATAATTTAGCTGAAATAGGTGTGTCCTTTGGTTTGCCCGTTTTTGCGAGAGTATTCTTATATCCTAAGAATTAGTAATCGAAATTTATTTCAGTCTATTCTACATTTTTAGTAAAGAAATTTTTAAAAATTTGCCCATATAGTTGAAAACTTTAATAAATATAATAAGAACAAATATATTTTAAAGCTACGTGGCTTGCCAAATGTATTACCCAGCTTCTGTCTGTAAGCAGGGAGCATTATTAGAGTTAAGCACCTGTCTGCAGGGCTTCCAATACGAACCTCCCCACACCCTGTTACAAATGTGGCAACAATTTTACACCTGTAGTAGCATTCGTGTGCACTTAAATCCGCACATAATTACGGACTTTTGCCGCCGACTATATGGATGGGAGAATGTGGCAAAAAAGAGAGCGAAAAAGTGGCCAAAAGGCAAAAAGCAATGCCACCAAGATTGACAACGTGATGGTTAGACAAGAGAAGAGACGCCCAAAACAAAAAGAGCGATGAGCAAAGCGAAATGTCAAAAATACCCGAAAGCCAAAAAACGTGGAGAGCGAGAAGAAACTCGCTGCTATGGCTTTTTCTTTTCATTTTTCTGCTGCTGCGGAATGTGTAAAAACACAAAAAACCAAATAAATTCCGTCACAAGCAACACGTTCGCGTTGGAAGTGGAAAAAAGCGAGTGAGCAGAAGAAAACGCTGCGGAAATGACAGCCAAAGATACAGGGTTCCTGGGCGACACGACTGCAAAGATACAAACCACGCTGAAGCAGCGACCAATCAGAGCGCCGGAGACTTGTGCGCCGGTGTGCGTGAACTCCACCCCCCGGGGCACTTCGAAGTAATGGCTATGGTAACCAGTTTCCAGACGGCAGTGCGCATGTGCCGACCAGGAAAAAGCGTGATGGATGCGGTGGCTGTCGCTTAGGCCACTCCTTGATAGTGGGTCCAAAATCCCAATTCAGTGCGTTCGGTGCTATTGGATGGAATGGTTGTTGGTTGTTGCTTGCTCTCCAGCTCTCGGGAACCGCACGAAGCTCCCCACAAGTCCTCCGTCTCGTTCTCGCCCCGAAACGGTTCGGTAGCAAGGCAAAAATACTATTATTAAACAAAATAATAACAATCGAAATATACAAAAATATAAGTATAATGTTATTCAGCGAAAACAGACTGCAAGTGCAATAACAAACTGGTGCTTACGGATGAAACAACTTTGGGAACCCCTGAAAAACCGGTTCTGCGCACCTCTTGAAAGCCAGAAAGGGACAGCTGGTGCCCACATGTGTGTGAGTGCGAAGTGAAGAAAAGTATCTCAGACGAATTGCAACAACTGTGCGTTCGTGTGTGTGAGTTTGTGTGTCTATGAGGCCATTGCAACGATCGCAGCAACTCTACAAACTCTACACATTACGCATACGCACCGCAGTGCGGCGCGTATTTGCAAGTGGCATTATCGTTGTTATCGCCGTAGTTTCGTCGGATGTGTTGGCCTTTTCGCGTCGCCATGGCTGCCAAAAGGTGTGTGTTGAACTGAAAAGCGAAAAACAAACCCCGAACAGCACTTGACGGTTGAGCAAACACAACGGTGGCCATATTTGTATTCGTATCTGGGTTCCCTCGATGTCGTCGCGGTTGTCGCCTTATTTCGCGTCCCTCAGATAAGCCGTGACATACTAAAGTTCTACGCAAAGCCCGCATCGCGAAAGTTGTGCCGGTTAAACTAAGTGCAAAAAAACAAAGGGCAAAGCCACTTACTGTGAACTAGTGTAGACAATTAATAAAACTGTGAACTAAGTGATAGTGGTGAATCTTCCGCACAGAACGCAAATGTCAACCCAAAACCTGAAGAGAGATATGGAGCAAACCTATCTGTAAATAATTATTTTGAAATGGTACGACCTTTAACAAATACAAAAGAATATGTTTATCAGGCGCCCCTATTTGTGAATCTATATAAAGATAAATGAACAAAAAGTTGCATATATTCGGTGAACGATAAAACTTTTTTACCACAAGGCAAGTCAATGGGTTGTCCGTATGATCACCAAGATTTCTGGATCACAATTTCCTGTAATATAAGGTTAAATTTCTAAGCTCATCTATCTTTTTTTAAAACCTTTGAGCACCACATCGCACCTTTAAAGCAATAAAATTAAATAATTTATACATTCTTCTGGGCTTGGTAATCTTCGTTTTGTCTTATTGTTTTCGTTTAGTAAATTAGGAAATACCCTTGATGAAAACCAAATTTTCGTAGCAGACCATATTGGCTTTTATATTTTTTCGGCCACTAGGTGTACAGTACTTTATAAATTCAATTGTTTAATAAATAACTGTGGCCGGTAAAAAAATCAGAACTCGATCTCCGAATTTTAGTAATGGCTGCCTGGTCTGCTTTTGTGAACATCAAGTGCATGTAACTAAAACTGAATTTTTAAAGTCGGCCGGACATATAACTCAGTCAATTTTTAACCGATTCACCTAAAATTTAAAATATACATTGAAAATAACACTGCCTATGGAAGTACTTAGAATTTTATGTTGCAAAGTTAATTTGGTGTTAACAATATTCGTATGATTTTAGGGCTATTTGGGCCCTTCTTACTTTGCAAGGGCGCCATTTTGCCAACAATTAATATATCAAAAAAAATCCTATGTACTTCCTCGTATACTCCTATTATATTTCAAAAATTGCACGAGCAACGTGTCCGGCCGGGGACTCTAAAAGTACAGAGACGTCATCGCAAAAACGCTGCACAGTCGCCGTTTTGATATGAATCACTTAAAAAATATTGTACACCAATATTTCTCATTTGTAATTTTGATTTTTTTAGTTTTTCTGAAAAAAAAAATCCCAAAAAAAAGTTTATCTTGCGACCTCTAGAGTGGCCTAACCTTTTATCAGTTTTAAAAACTTACACATAAATTTCTATTTCAAAATCAATCTCCTTAATAATGTTTAGGAAATACCATCTCGCAAATATAATTGAAGCCGAAATACAACCTTACAAGAACACTTAAGCCAGAACTATTAATATTTAATACGGATTTGATTTTTTAATATTTTAATATAAGTCATCGGGTTAAAAATTTATAAATAAAGTTAAATGACCGCACCATTATACAAATCGATATTTCCTTACAAAATTATTGGAAAAACGGAATTTCTTTTTGTTTTGAAAAAACTATATACGAGTTCTTACTACTATGCTTACTTCTACTATGCTTCTACATATGGGTCAACAAACTAAAATTTTCAGATAGAACTAAAATAAAAAAGCAATCATTTTTATAATTGCAAAACAGACTAGAAAGTCAGCCTTTAGACTCAATAGTTTCTTAAGGTTTTAGAAAAAATATATTGAAGACAGCTTCTTAAAAGTTGTGGTTGTTTTTAGTATTAGGCAGAGTTCTGTATGCTCTTTTTTGAAATATATAAGTAAATATAAAAAAAGCATAATAAATAAAACATTGCAAATATTGCTCAATGGAAATTACAAATATTTGCGGGATAGTTAAAACAAAAATTATATTTAAAATTTCTTTTAATTATTTTTTCTTTCAGGTCTCCATGGTGGGAAGAAATTAATACACCCAAGATCTAGCCAGTAACAAAATTCGGAAAGATAAGCCCCAGCCATGCAAGAGGTGTGCAGCACTCTGGACACGACCCCGATGGGCACGCAGATCAAGTCGGAGTCGCCGCTGAATCCGCTGCAGGTGCAAACCGGGCAGACCTCCCTGCCAGTGGGTGGTTGCGGTGGGGCTGGCACAGTGGGTGGTGTTGGCGTGGGTGGCATCGGGCAGCAGGGGGCGCCTCCGGTGCCGGCGGTGATGCTGGTCAACAAGATGGCCCCGAACTGTGATAAACGGGCCGGAGACACGGCCTACTGGATGGCAGCCTCCGAGGGCGGATTCATCAACTCGCAGCCGTCGATGGCCGAGTTCCTCAACCACCTGAGTCCGGAGAGTCCCAAAATAGGAACACCTGTTGGTGCCGGCGCCATCGGAGGCGTGGGCGTTAACGTTAATGTCAATGTCGGGGTCGGAGTCGGATATCCGGTTGGCGTTGTCCCTCAAACGCCGGATGGCATGGACTCGGTGCCGGAGTATCCATGGATGAAGGAGAAGAAGACGTCCCGCAAGAGCAGCAATAACAACAATCAGGGTGAGTCTGAATTCTCACTACACTGAGGGGAAAAATCAAGTTATGCTCAGAGATCTTTAACAAATATAGATTTAAAAGCGGTAGGAATTAATTTTAATAAAGTGAAACATAAATAGGCAGTATCAGTAGATCAGTTGCTCCTACTTTTAATTCAGTGGTGCTTTCAGTTTAAAAGGTACAATTTGTTGATATACATATATAGTAATTACTTCAATTTAAATAAAAACTGTATAAGAGGTTTAATCATTTAATAACTTTTCATAAAATGAATTGCATACAGATTGCTTCCGAAAAGTAAAACGCAAAATTGTGGTTAATTAGCTGAAGCGCACCCCAAACACTTTTTCTTTCCGTGCAGGCAGTGAAATGCGAAACTGTCATTAATCAAGAAATCAATGCAATTTACCTTGCATCAAATGAGGCGCAGCATGGCGGCGCCTTCGCCACTTCCCGTCCAGAAAGCCAGAACTCTATCTCCGTGCCGCCCGATCCCTATCCCAATCCCAATTCCGATTCCGATCCCAATTCCAGTCCCAATCCCGGTGCCTCTACCTCTGGCACTCGATCACGCACCCAAGAGAGGGTTCGGCTCCTTTGATGGACAGCTCGCTCTGGTGCCGGCAAAGATCTGTTATTTGCGATCATTTGTAACAATTTTCGAGAGCAGAGCGGACCGCGCTGGAAATGTTTCATTTATTTCCCTTCGCTTCGACTCGAGTCGAATGTGTCGATTTCATTTGCGCAAGAAATACGAAAAAGCGACGAGGAGCGTACAAAATAAAAGTGAAGAAAACTACAGCTGTGGCAGGGATCGAGGCAGCCGCATTTAAAATAAATGAGGTATCAAGGTTGTCCGACCATACGTTTTCCTGTCCGAGTGGCAGTGCCCAAGCCCCTTTCCCAAGAGCGATTGCAACCTGTTATTTGGCTTCATTTGTCAAAATATTTTTTCCTGTCCCCCTTTTTTTTTGCCTTCGATCGAGGGGGCAGTGTTTGCCGGGCAACGGCTGTGCTGCACGTTGCACATTGCAATTGCAGGCCCTCGGGCGATGTTGCAGCACAGAAAATACGTTTTTCGTGTCCGCTGCTGCACCATTTTAAACCAGTGCCTCCCATTCGCCATTTCCCCATTCACTTGCCGAGGGATATTCACATAAAGCCGAGGGATCAGACGGAACACGGCAATATGGGAGAGCAGAGTTTCAATTTATCATTTATATCGGACACAAGTCGACCAATTGTTTAGTTAAGTCAGCCAGCATTTAATTGGGAAAAATTAAATTATACTTTTACCAAGAAGTTCAAATACAAAACAATACAAAAATAAGTTAAAGTTGATTAAACAAAATTAAATGTTTTTGTTTGGCGTTGTTCGACCTGAATTTTTCTACATCCACTGATGTTGATATGAAATATTTTAATATACATTTTTTAATATTTTAATAAAATTAAGATTCCAGTAGTTAAAATTCAACATCATAAATTAGCAACTATTCACCTGAATCCTTGTCGAAGAACAAATAGCCGTGTTTGTGGGAGAGTGTGCACTGACTTAAACTAATACATTGCCAATTAATATTGACCACACTCACCAACCACACGTCCTGTTGACAAATGAGCAGCACTAATCCGCCGGAAAGTGGGTGCAAGTGTGTGTTTAACCGCCAAATCCCAACACGTGGCCAGTGCAGAGTGGCAAATGGAACCGTCAAGGAATTCCCCAGAGGGGAGAAATCTTTCTCCGGGTCCGGGACTCTGGTTGCCGGGTCCCGGGTTCCCTGGTTCCCTGGTTCCCGGAGTGAAAGTGAGCCAATAAATAGCGTGAAGCATTCCGAAGCGCCGTTGAAGGGTCAATACATCTTTCACCCACTCCCGAACACACACTATATATGTATACTCTTGAGGGAATGGGAAAAGAAGGGACGACATGCTGAGCGATATGGATTACAAATGATGTTGTAAATGTCCGTCCGGCGACCGTTTGTTTATCTCAGTGTGCGAACAGGGCTAGTGTGTTTGTGTTGGTTTAACAGTTTAATTTGTTAACGTTGTCAAATTAATTCCTTGTCAAGTGGCAACCGATCTAAATGATTCTCAGGCCGGCGGATCTGTAAGCTTGGGATCTGAAACGCTATTAGTAAACATTTAAGATAGATACTTCGTTGCATGTGATATTAACTTTTTAAAACTAATCAGTTTGAACCAGATTTAATTGGTAAAGAATCGTAAAGATACTTGCAAAAGCTTATAATTAAAGTGTTTGTTCTTTAAGTAGGATGCATAACAATTTACACTGGGTAAAGAAAAACCTGATTCGATTTTGTAGTCTAATTAAATTGTTTGGTGAAGGTATTATTTCCATCATTAAAATAAGGACTTTTAAGTAAGACCATTTCAAGCCACTTTGGTAATTCCTGGTTGAAATAATAATTTGTATCCCAGCACCTCTCCACCTCCCGTCAACCCATCATTGTTTGCCACAAATTGCTCGCAACGCATCCTGAATTTTAATGTGCGGCGCGTATTTCGGCTGAAAGTCCTTCCCACCGTAGGTTGCACGAGTTAAAACAAGGGGACTCCTCCTCGGAAATTGTTTTGTTAGCCTGTTTACATGCACACAAAGTGGAAGCAATAAAATTTCCGCTCAGCATCAAGTGTTAATTAGGCGTAATGAACTGCAAGAAAAGTTTGTAATTGTCGAGCAACATGCTCAAATCCTCCTCAAGTATGTGCCGAAATCGCAAGCGGATCTTGCCAGGAGTGTGAGATACTTTCACTGAACGAAGCGACTGGGGGTAAACCAATAAAAAACAATTTGACTTCGTTGGCCCGGCTATTGAGAGGCGGCAATCCATTCGAAGCGCCATCTGTACCATCCACTCCACTCCATTCCGCTGATCCACCCACCCCGCGACCATATGTTGCTCCATTGAGAACTGAAGCAGTTCATCCTGTTCCTGGCTGACTCAGTGGGTGGAAAGGGGGGTGGAAGGGCATAAAAAATGCGTGCGGCACGACGCGAAACTTACCCCCCGAGGATTACGATTATAACAAACCATTTATCATAATATTTATGTTGATGCGTTGTACTTTTTCTCAATGAAGGTCTCAAAGTCTGCCAGGGTCAGAAAAAAGCGGAGGACAGGGCCAGGTTCGCGGTGCCTTTTATTAATTTTATTTATGATGAGTCATTTGCACATTTATAATTTTAACCTTTACAGTTGAATTCATTCAAAACGAATTCGTCGCGAGTGCGAAAAATCAAGGGGAGTAAAATAATAATTTAAAGTCGAATTGGAGATATGCAGATTGCTTTAAAGAAGTCGAAGAGTTTCTCATATAAAGTATACAATTGTATCATTGGGTGTGGAATGTTTGCGTGGATATTTATTGTATTGTTGATATCGCTTGACCGTTAACATAAATGAAAATTATATATAAGAAAATATAAATATCTATAATTTATTCAATAAGATTAATTAAAAAATATTGTGAGAGTCTAATATCTTCCTGTTTCATCCTCACTCCACACAAAGCCAAAATAAAGTGCATTTAACCAGAAAACTCCCCGTGGATAAGTGCCTCTAAAAAGGTAATCTGAAATCATGTCGCCGAGCATTAAACTAATTGGCGCTCGTCAAATAATTTTTGCACACTAATTACGCGTCAAACGATGAAAAATTTCGAGGGACACCGAAAAGGCTCCTCACAAAGCTTAAATAATTTGGGAAAGGTGGCCCGTTTTTGGGCTGCTCAATTAATTGTTACGACTTTATTATGGAGATAAGTGCGCGGCGTCTTGGCCAAGACAAACAAAGGGTTCTAATTGGCCGACCGCAGCAAGGATAATGCCAGGCAGACGTTTACGCCCCAGAGGCTTTTTCCATATTTTTCTTTCGCCTTTTCTGGCCTTTCCCTTTCCAACGTGACTGGGAAAAAATCTGTTACAATTAGTTAAGCTTGAGCCGGCGGCTGCCCCAAGTAAATTTTAAGATTATTATTTCTACCACATTTTTGGGTGGATTTTTTTTCGCAGCTTTATCTGCAAACTGATTTGTCATTATTTTTAAAGGGAAAAGGGCCGCAAATTTATCAGAGAATTTTCGACCATAATGTTTCTTCTTGCTTCTGTGAAATAAGGTGAAAGGGAAATTAGTTGGGCAGTTATGCTTTAATCTTATCTTAACATAAAAACGAAATGCTAAACTTACAAGTTTGGTAATTTAAAACCGGATTAGGGATCAAATAGTCATTTACTCAAATCAATTTTATACGTTGGGACATTTCCCCACTCACTTCGGGTTTCCTTTAATTTTCCCTTCCGAATTGGTAATTCGAGGTTTCCCCTAAAAACTTTGACGTTAACCAATATCGATTTAATTTTATTTCCGCTCATTTAGCTAAAAGCGTTTCAGTAAGAATGAAAATATTTGCCCGCGATTAAATTAAAAAAAGCTGGAAACGAGCAAGTGGGAAATGGGGAAGAGTGGAAAAGAGAAAAGCGTTTTATGAAATGAATGCACTGACACTCTGGCCTCGCCTTGGAAAAATTTGAATACATTACAGAGGGTTTCGGGCGGAGGACTCCCTGCAAATAAACTGCCGTAGCCGGAGACGGAGCAGTCCGCTCCCCACCTCCGAGCCCCCGGAACCCCGCCCCTTTTTGGCCAGGACGACGGCATGACAATGACACAAAAGCCGCGCACTTAATCGCCGCGGATCACATTCCGTAAAAACCGCGACGATAAAAATTTTTTACGCTCCATTCTTGTGTACTTAGTGAAATGGAAGGGACACCACACCACTCCACTCCACCCACCACCACCAAGCACTCCACCACCCGTGGTGGTTGACCCGCCTGTCCGCAATTCCACTGGAGACATCTCTGTCCAGTTTCCCGCTTACCAGGAGAAAATCAGATCTGAAATTATTTTCAATTTGTACGCGATTTATTTTTATGTCTTTTTTTAGAGAGCCCTCCGTCTCATCAGCAGAGATCC